CAAGAGCCGATTTTCAAAGAATTTGCTACAAGGGAGTGATTAATCACTAACCGTGTCTGTAAAGGTAGGTGGATTAAACGCTGATATCCTTAAACACAATGATATGCTTAAGGATGTATGTGCAGAGAGTGGTGCTAAATTGATTCAGATATTCGACATGATAAACAAAAGAACAAAATCATTTGGCGAGACGGCATTCACCTATCAGATACAGGTACAAGTCAGTTAGTCCAACTGTATCACAAACAGGTGAATATCATCAAGCAAAGTGTACGCCGTAATGCCTGTTTCAATTGTGATATCTCAGGATATAATGTGTCATCTTGTAGGATACTTAGTAAAGTTGTCTGCTATATTTGTGGTCAGATTGGACATAAAACATCTTACTGTAGATACATAAATCAACCCAGTAACACATATAGTTCTTACCGCAATAATGAATACTAGGGGCATGGCAAAGACCTCCCCGACCGCAGCTCATTATCAATACTGCTACCGGTAACTGTTGAATATGAGAAAGAAGTGTATCAATCTTTCATACATAATATAGAAGAATATTGGTTAGGTGTTTCAAATACTGTAAATCCAGCGAATTCCCTTTTCAGTCCTTTTGTTTCTCGCACCAAAATTAGGTCTAATTTCTGTCGTTCACCCACGTTCAGCATGTCCTCAGATGACCTTAATTCAAACAATACTTGCTGGTTTACAGCTATCATCTGATTTAAAACTTAATGATGGTTGTAAAAAAATACTGTCATGCTGAGGAAGATAGACTGGATGGAGCACGAGATGTTTGTCTTTCATATGAAACTATTTCCAATGTTGCACTTCCCTTTTCAGTCTCAGACTCTCACATTCCAACAAGTTTGTCCCTGAATGGCCTTTCTGATGTATTGACACCTTCTGATGTACATACTTCATCTATAACCCAACCTTTTAAATTAGGTGAGGGTAAATCTGATTACATCATTGGGCATAAAAATGTCAATCGATTGATTACTTAAAAGGAAAACAAACTTGATGAAATGCGTAAAGTCATATTTCAACCAGAAAATAATATCAGTATTATGGGTTTTACTGAAACTTTTCTACTTGAATTAATATTAGATGACCTGCATGTTGACAATTATGTTCGTGAAAGAAAGGATCGATTTTGTCAAGACGGGAGCGGGATTTTATTTTATATCAAAGATACAATTAAATATCAAAGACTTGTTGAATTTGAAACATATGATGTTGAATGTATGTGGCTTAAAGTTTCACCTGACTTTTCCAAACATTATATTTTATCTTTAACGTATAGACCACCTAATTCTAATGTCGAGTGGTTAATTTCATTATCTCAAATGGTTACAGAAACAACGAGAAAAACTCATCTTTCAGCTACTATACTAGATCATCTGTACACTAACGTACCAAATAATATTCAAGAAATTAAAATAACCCCATACAGTCTAAGTGATCATTTTCTTGTAGTTTTCTCATTGAAGAATATTCAAAACTGTAAAAACTCTAAAAACAGGCACATTTTAAGGATACTGAGTTTCTAAACGATTTGATAAATTCGCCATTCCAAAATATTTAACAAATTAATGATATTGATGTAGCTTTACCAGCTTTTTACGATCTTATTCTCACTGTATTAAATAACCAAAGAAATTATTTCAAATTACAGACCAATTTCCATTTTACCAACCATTTCTAAAATCTTTCTTCGAAAATATCAATTTATGTTAACCAGTCGGGTTTTGGAGAGAACCATTCTTGTTCTACGGCACTAGTTAGAATCACAGATAATTGGCTTGAAGCTTTAGAACAAGGTAAATTGACAGATGTTGTCTACCTGGATTTTAGCAAGGCTTTCTATCTTATAGACCACCAGCTCCTTGATAATCTTTTTTTATATTAACTTTCACCCTTATTTGTTATATGTAATTAAATCGAACCGTACCCAAAAAGTTTGCCTTGGTAATTTCCAATCAATACATAGAAAAATAAAATGTGGTGTTCCTCAAGAATCCATCCTTTGACCACTTTTATTTCTTATTTTCATTAATGATCTTCCCCTTTTAATAAAAAATTCTACTTCTGAAATATTTGCTGACGATACTACCATATATTATTCTGATGAAAAACTTGGCTGCATTCAGAGTTGTCTTCGGGAGGACTTCGACATCATCAGCCAATGGTGTCATGATAATGGTATGGTAATAAACACAAAGAAAACTAAAAGTATGTTAATAAAAAACGTAGGAGACATTGATAAAAGTCTTTCTCTGTCCATTGGTAACCAGAAATTAGACAATGTATCCGAGGCTGTCTTACTCGAATTACAATAGATAATAACTTCGACTTGGGAAAACATATAACAAAACTTCACTCATTTGTGTCATCAAAAATATATCTACTCAATAGAATTAAAATAAATCTACCAGTAGAACCCGAATATTATTTTACAATGCCTATATATTATCACATTTAAATGATTGTAATATTGCTTTC